AGAGAGAGGGAGGCGATCTCAGCATGAAACGCAATGCAGCTCATTTCAGTGTCTCCGAAGTGTTGAGTAAGGAACCTGATAGCGAATGAATGAGCATGCACAAGCATCCGCTCAATGAGTCAGTCAAATCAATCCATCAATCCATCAATCCACCCCTCCTGCCACAATCACTTATTTGATCAGTCCACCAGTGGGCAATCGTCTAACCAATCCATCTTGGAACTAGCTGAAGTCTTCTTGACATCACTTCTTCCTAATGTTCCAAATGCAGGTGCGGGAATGGTTGGGCACTTCAAGCCCAATCACCAAGTCATGCACCCCGTCACCACTCACCAACCCAATCACCATTTAATAGCATCGGTACGACGTAGGGATTTAAATGCAATCCTAGAACTACTACATTCAGTGTCACCAGTACGCCTACATAGTCCTGTCCATTCCCCCCGTGCCGATGTCTCTCCTTACATCAACAATGTTGACCCCCCCCGAATTATCATTCTTTTTGGTCTATTGTGATCGGTGGCGGTGGCAGCAACATTGTTCCGAATCGGATGGTCGATGCGACTTTAAGCGATGTGTAACTTGTGACGGAGCAAGACTGATCTGAATCCATGCCAGAGACTTAAATATGACATGGAGAAATGCTTGAAGTTCCGCTGTCAGCAATGAGAACTCATGAACTTCGGGCAATGCAAAACACAATACAAGCCTGGCCTTGGCTGCCGTAGCCTTATCCAAATCCAGGCAAACGCAAAAGAGCAAAAAAAAAGGAAAGACCGGCCCAGCTTGGACTTGTTGAAGCTCGGTCCGAGAGTACGGGCACGGTATCTGACAAACAAGAGGGCAACATACGGGAGCCAGCACTCGCTGTCAGAAATACTTCCAACCCAACCTCTAGCTTGACCTCAGGGGCAATGGTGACAGATAAAAACGGAAACCACAGCATATTGTGGGTGCCAAGGGACACAATGATGCGATGGTTTGGACGGGTGGGCAGTGGTGCAGTGCACACGCGTTAAGTCAGGCCAGAGATGCGTGCTTGCAAGAATGCATGCACGCGGAATGAATGGAACCTGGATTTAACTTCGGGTTGGGTTGGAAGGGAGTGTGAGCTAGAAGTGGGAGAATTCGGGGAAGACAAAGTGTAGGGAAACGACAGCTCGTCGATTTCACTGACTGACAGCCTGTCAGCTGATGGGTGAGCATGGAATTAGGGATGGAAAAGTTGGAGTCAGAGATTCAACAAACACTACAGCACAGTGCGCCTGCTGTAGGTGAGGGAGGAGGGCGAGAAAGGGGAGGGACATGGTATGCACAGGCAAGATGTGGCAGCACCTGCAATTGCTGCGGTTTGAGATGCAAGGTTGGACCAAACCCACGACCCTGAACTAGAGGAAGATGGGAGAACAATACAGGAACTGATGGGCATCGCCCGCCGGCCTAGCACAGGCTAGCAAACGAATTGACGTACGCACGTACGCAACACGAACGTGAGTGACACTGACTCATTTATCTACTGACTGCGGGTAGGGAAGCACAATAGCTGGGGACGACTACCGCTGTACCTTAAGTTCTAGAAATGGTTGTACGAACAATGTGCGTGCCGCCACTGCAAACAACAACACGTTGGAAAAATTCACAGTGAGAGGGTGGAAAACTTGAGGTGGAACTGAAATGCTTTTCAATTCAGTTTTCAAAAATCAGTAGAAATTCGGCAGCTGTCATGGTTGTCCAATGACATCATATTCAGCGAACAGACTCGCTGACAATCTGTGCAAAAAAGTGAGCATCGCCATGCGTGACGCAACCTGATGAGACACAACAGGCGAAAGGAGCTAGCCATGGTAATGATCGACGAGCAGGCCAGCCACACCACCTCTTTGGTGCACCAAATCATAACCGGAAGATTGGAAGGCGCCTCATCAAGGTGCACCGACCTTACGACAGCAACCCTCTTCAGTGCAGCCAGGCTTATAGCCTAGTCTGTTGCCTCTGCTCCATGTGCAGCTGTAGCAGTAAAAAGCGGTTCCACTGCTGGCTATTTGATGTTAGGAGCATGGCACTAGGAGTATGCGTAGCAAACAGACTAACAACACAATCGCTCCAGGCTAAGCAACAGCAAGCACGATCGCTGCTTGCTATTTGATGTCAGGAGCATACATAGCAAACGTCTGTGACTATAGGACTCAATCCGCATGTGCAGCCAGCAGCCCACCATGGCTTGGAAAGGAGAACTCGGCTCAGCAGCGTGCACAGCACCCGGTCAGCATAATGACAGCAAGTGGGCAGCATGGTTATCATCTTCAACAACAGAAGTGACAGGAAGATGACGAAAAAGCAACAACAACAAAAATAACGACGGGAACAACAACAACACGAAGAACGACAACGTCAAAATAGCGACCACGAGGAGAAGAACGTGGGTGACAACAACACGGAGCTAGCAACCATAAAAGCGACACGGACACTTCTACGGGTGACATATGCTCACTGCCGCCTGTCTATGACTTCATTTGTCCTTTAATCTATGTGTTTGTCTGCAGGACTGAGTGTCTGTCTGTTTGGCTTTCCGTCCATAGGATGTGTCAGCTAATCTTTCTATGTCTGTCTCCCAATCTGTTGGTAGGTTGGATTGACCTAGCATTTGAAAATCGGCGCACTTAACAGCCATTACAGTGTCACTGGGCAAGAGGAGTCCCCTCGAAGTGGGGACGATTGCATTCCACACACAGCCGCCGTGGTATCTGCAGGTTCAGAAGCGCTTCTCCCTGCAATAGAGAGAAGACTAGGTTTCTGATCGTGCTCCTGCTGCTGGTGCTGTTGCAGCAGCAGCTGCTGTTGCTGCTGCTGTTGCTGCTGCTGCTGCTGCTGCTGCTGCTGCTGCTGCTGCTGCTGCTGCTGCTGTTTTTGGACCTCCAGTAGACGCTCACGCCGCTCACGGTGTTTGCTGCTGCCCGAGCCTTTTGATTCGAGTCTATACAGTCTGGCGACACTCTGGAAATCCAAACAACGCACATGTTCATTGGGAACCCCAAAAGTAATGGATGCGTTGGTGAATGCCCTGATTCCATCTCGCTTGATGAGTTCTCTGTCGTATGCAGCGGCGGCCTCCTCTTGAGTGAGGTAGTCACCCAGGGTCACTCCTTTCTGGTTGATCTTGATCTGGGCCCTCCATTTCTTCGTCCCTTTGCTCCAGCACACCCCTCGAAACCTGGCACAATCGCAAATGTGATCAACTTGGTTACACTCCAGCACCCAACAATAGACCATTTGTGCACTCTGCAATTCCAGCCTTTCCTTTCTTTTATTATCACCCCTCCCCAACCCCCTGACAGTCTCCCTGTATCCATCTTCATTTTTATGCCACAGTGGCCAATGCAACCCAACAAAACAACCACAACCGCTGGCCTTGGCACTGAGGAATCCTGACAATGTGCTGTTTGTTTTTCCGTTCTCACATTTACGGCCTCGCCACACCAATGTTTTTTTTTTTTTTTTTTTTAATCTTAAAAATTTGGACCATTTCTCGATTTATGCGTGTCATCCTTGAAAGCGCAGGGGCCATGCTAATCTTCTCTGTATCGTTCCAATTTTAACGGATGTCCCGAAGGACTCGCCACACCAATGTTGAAACACGAGTTTTCAACATTTTTTTTTCGCCACAGACTGTCGAAGAAAAAATGTCGAAACCACTTCTATTGTTCTACAATTGTCAGAAAAAATGGTTTCCACATTTGTGTGAAACGACCAGCCTGCAGGGGCCTGGGTATGTCCATAATTTCTGCATTCAAGTAGTTGGTTATAACGCAATTTTGTGGAGCCAACCTGGGTCCACCTCTCTTTTTCTTTTTCCTTCTTTTTTCTTTTTAAAACAGAAAAGGCCTAACGGCGTCACTACCGTCTTCACCTGGATGGAACGCTGTATCTAGACTGAAAGTTGCACCAAATATAGCGATAATGACCGGGCGTTCTATTCGGGTGAAGACGTTAGGGACGGTGATACGAGGACCTCCCCTATGCGGCCATGCTATACTGCTGGGTGTAGATATGGGAAGAGCGGAACAATCACTTGACTTGAAATCAGAGGATCTCAATATCATTGTCAAGGACTGTATTAGCACAGGTTTTGTGGAAGCTGATACAGTCCAAAACATGGGCAAACCAATGAATGAGGAGTACGACTGATAACACGCTCATGCGACGGGCGAAGTGCTAATGCGGTGAGGTGGTTGTAGCGGGCTGTGAACGTGTGGTTGCTGCAAAGTTGCCGAGGGGCGTTGCGGTGGTCGGCCTATTGGATGCATCCGGGCGCATGAAGCATGTAGCTGACTTGATGTTGGTCTTCTAAGATTGGAGGCACTTCTTCATCATCAGCGTAAAATTGGCTAATGATCCCTTGGGGAAATCGCATTTGCCTTGCGACGCTTCTGAAGATGGCTTTCATGCTAAGTTGGACGCTGCTAGCGTCTCTTCCAGAGGAGATGTGGGGCTTTCAGCTGTGCTGTTACCGGTGGTGAGTGAGGTGTGGGCCTTTCAGCTGTGCTGTTACCAGAGTTGAGTGAGGTGTGGGGCTTTTTTTTTTCTTTTTTTTTTTTGAAAACAATTGCCTCAATCTATTAGTGGGGAGCCGCATGTGCTGGGAACGGGGCCCAGCGTCCCATAGGAAAAGTTACAAATCATATAAGATACTGGGGCCATTTCCCGGCTTCAGGTAAGAATCCAAAGGGAAGTTCAAAATTTGGAGAGCTACCTAGCCTATTCAACAGCGGACTCCGGTAATAGACCAAGATTCAAAGGGGCTATATAAAAACCTTTACTGAAAGTCATAAGGAACCTCGAATCTTACGATTCAAGTTAGCTAGACACATTCTGCAAAGAGCTTGCAGAAAGCAAAACCCGACTACCAAATGCCACCCAGTTGCCCAAGCCAAAGCCTGCCTCAACCATCCCACCACTACCAAAACTCTACCAGGTCTCACATCCCCAACTGCTAGGTCACAAGGCGGCAAGACCCACCTTAGGAAACCTCCCATCTGCTAGGATACAGGGTTTCTCAGCATGTTCTGTTTCTCACAGTTTTCACAATTTTTATAGGAGACGGGACGCTGAGCCCGGTTCTCAGCAGGTTCTGTTTTGGTCCTCAGCAAATTATGTTCTGTTACTCCGGGTAGACTGTGAGGACCCCGGCCTCAATCCTTATATTGGAAATATCAGCCTTGGGCACAGGGCCCGTCTTTAAAAAAAAAAAAAAAAAAAAANCACACACACACACACACACACACACACACACATGTGGTCATCCTTACGGCCCGGTTCGTAGACTCTGACCATAATCCCAGCAAGACTAAACCCAAAAACGAACAGAAACTACCAATACAGGAGGCAGAAATCCACTCAGAAACAACAACAGGGGTCGGAGTTCCTCTGGTAAACTACTCTCTCTCTCTCTCTCTCTCTCTCTCACACACACACACACACACCTGTCTCTTATACACATCTAGATGTGTATAAGAGACAGGCGCCGTCTTGATAGCAGCCCACAGATGGCCACTGGAATGCCTTTCTGAGGTACGTGGGGCTTTAATCTTCAGGTAAAGGAAAGGTTCTCTCCTGTTCAAGAGTAGAGAGAGGGGCACAGGGTATTTGTTCCCAGGAAGCGGAGACTTGGGAAAGGTGGAATGATTTGCGCTATCATATCTGGGAGAAAGAACCTTCTTGGCTGAGAGAGGGGCACAGGGTATTTGTCCCCAGAATTAACCTTTGGAAAAAAAAAAAGATCAGGGAGTGAAATTCAATTCAAAAACAGTTTAAAACACTATCATATCTGTGATAGTTTTTAAAACGTCCTTCTTCTGAAAGTACAGAAACCTGTCATTGTTTCCCCCCCCTCCCCCCTCCAAAAAAATCGGGCAACCTTTCGGTATGATCCGCGCACTCCGGCCAGGCTCATACTGAGGTCGACATTTCATTATACAGACTGGAAAACGGGTCCAGCGTCCCTCACATCAAAACAGAATTTCCGGCCAAGAAGACCGACTTCAATCCAAAAGCCTGCAAACGTCCAACCAAATGCTACCCTGAACCGACAAGGAAACGAAGAAGGCAATCATCCGACGCTTGTCCCCCCTTGCTAAACCGCCCTGCCACCCGCGCGGCAGGAGTCCGTACCCACAGGCCCCCAACTGCAGGCACAGACCCCGCATAACCCACCACCCTCCTTGCGATTCAAGGAAGATGACACCTCTACTCACACTCTACATACCCAAAAGACACCAACTCCCACCATGATGGTGCTTTTGCAAACCAGGGGATGCACCCTACCACCCACGCGGCAGGGGCAGAAGACCCCGCGAAACCCTCCCTCCTCGCGATATGGGGTGAATTGTTCCACAAATCCGCTTCCAGTCCCTAAGAAACCCCACTGCTCACCATGATGGGGTCTCTGCAGAGAGAAGCTCACTCATTCATCTCCCTGCTAAAACTAAGCGCAACCTAAAAATGGAAAATCACAAACAACTGTCAAACCAACTCACCTAAAGCGGCAGATAAGCAAAACCCTAGCATCAAAACTAACGACGGTGCTCACTTAAGATGTTAACCCCAAATTCCTGCCGTAATCCACTTATAACTCGCAGACAGGACAATGAAAACCTTGCCATCCAAGAAGAAAAACAACACAAACTACTAAGTATCACACACGATTAGAAAATTCCAACAAAGTAACAACAAATCACACACGATGAAAAGAGTCCTACTAACCAACAGAGCACCGAATGAAAAACATCAAATTTCTCGAACCAATAGAGCACCGAATGAAAAACATCAAATTTCTCGCCTAATATGGCTGTAATCCCAGCAAAACTAAAAGCAGAAACGAACAAAACGAACTAAAATGTTCTCTCTCTCTCTCTCTCTCTCTCTCTCTCTCTCTCTCTCTCTCTCTCTCTC